GAAGCTAGTTCAAGTCCTCTGGCTCCAGGAAAGACATGGGGCCCAGGTCTGGCCAGAGGGTGCACAGTTAATTAAATGCAGGCTCTAAGCTGAGTCCTTTCAGAACCAGTGAGTGTTTGTCCCAAGCTTCTTGCTACAAACCTTGGGAGAGGTGAGCTCTTCCATCGGGGTTGCCAAGCCAGCAGGATAAAAGCTGGAACCCGCAATGGCTCTATCTGCCACCACTTGGGTAAATCTTTCCTGAGAAGTACACCAAGTAAGAACCCAGGGAAGAAGTGAGGCAACTTTGAGGCTACTCTTTGAGGCCTTGGGTCCAGCTGTGCCCAGATTTCTCTGCCACTTCGATCAGTACATTTCTTCTCTCAACCAATCTGAGCTGGCTTTTTCTTCCAGCTGAAGAAGTCTAGATGAGTAAGATGTCCAGATGACCAGAATGGATACCTGGATACTGACACTGCTGGAAGGGCTGAGATGACAGAGGCATTTATTCCTGCAGCCCACACAGAATCCAGTGCCTGGGAGAGGCCCCTTTGTGCTGTGAAGACCTAGCAGACCCCTCTTCAAACAACACAGTTCAATGACAGCAGAGGATTTTTTTTTTAACTTTATCATTTATAAAGCCATACAATGGATCGCAAAGAAACAGAACAGCTGTACAGGGCGTGGGGCCAGCGTCAGTGTACAATACATTCATATCCAGGGTAAGTAGCATACATCAGGATTTATACACAGTGGTTATAGGCATGATGATACAAAATATAAAGTATATTTCCATCTATATAAATACACAGCCAGGGATGAGGACGAGGTTGGGTTATTCCATTTTTTTCTTGGAAAGGGTCTAGGATGGTAGAGGGAAGTAGTAAGGGATTTCTTAACTTTTTCTTTTTTATAATGACATGTCAGATAGGAGGAGAAGAAATGGGGAAACACAACAGATAGCACAGACATGCTTTCTCTCTTCACACACACACACACACACACACACACACACTCTCAGGAGAGTTTCAAACTGTTTAACACTGATTCAAAAACAACTTCGGGACATCCCTCCACAATAACCTGGCCTCTGGGAAGAGCTCTGAAAATGAACCAAGGTCCTCCAAAACATTGCAGAGTTACAACACAGGAGTCAAGAAGGGTTAGCGCTGCCCCTGCCCAGCCCCACACGGCCTGAAGCTCACCATCCCCATGACGAGATGCCACCAATCCACAGCCCGACATACCTCGCCTCCTCATTCTTTTTGCTGCTGGGTGAGTTTGAACCTGACAGCCCTTTGCTCACCTCTAACCTCACCTCCAAGTTCCTTAAAGAGATAAGCAGATTTTGCACACACACAGCCACACTTGCGCACACACGCTCACACCCACATCCTACGTAACCCTGACTCAGGGCACTCACATCTCATGACCTGGGTAAGGGGATTCCAGGGACGCTTTCCAGGACTCCAAGCCTCGCTAAGTAGATAGTGACAGGCAACCCCTGGATGGGTCATGGGTCCTTCCAATCTCCCAGGAGGGTTCTAAAGCTGGGGAAAACCCAGAGGGGGTGAAGCCCCCAAAGCAGGGCAGGTGGACCGAAGTCTGGAATGAAGGCCAATGATACTCACACTCAGAGCCTTCAGCAGCTCTGGGACAACCCAAAAGCCTGCCCAACCTCTGCTCAGGACCCTCAGACCAGGGCGGAGTCCACGCCTGAGTGCCTACTCTCAGAACAAGCTCACTTCTGCAGTCGGCTGTTCCCTTCTCCTGACTCACAGCTCCAGCCCCACTGTCCCTGCCCTCGCCTATCCCAGCCAGTAGGGGACACTCCCAGGGCCTCCTCCAATACAGTGGAAAAGCGCGTATGGCAGGGGTTGCCTACAAACTTTCCAGAGCTGCTGGGGGAAGGGCTCAGGGAAGGGTGTGGGATCCAAAGGCCTTTCCAAAATCCAAGCTATTAAACGTCTATCCCTCCAACAGCAGGGAGCTAGGTCACAGGCTTAAGAATAGGGGGGCTAGTCACCCTGGAGGGTGATAAAAATACTCATTTCCTCCACCTTTCCCCTCAGAGGTCACCTCACCACCGTCTCCATGGCGAACCCTCCCTTCTTGTTCCTTCTGGGAGCAGCCACACGGGAATCTCGAACTTCTGCCCCACTGAACTAGAGATGTCGCTTCTGTACCTTCTTCTCACCATACACCATTCAGCCTGACTGAAGCAAGGGCCCCGGCCTGCCTCAGAGGCCTGGTCAAGCCACGTGGATACAAGTGGTGGGGAAAGGCCTGGGCCTGGACCCATCAAGGTATGCGGTGCAGGCTTCCACAACCAGCTCTTTCCTATCCACTTCTCCCAGGCCTTTTCCTGCCCCAGCCCGTTCTCAAGCCCAGACAGCACTCTCTCGGCTGACACAGAGATTCAACAATCAACAACAGCAAACTGAGAGAGAGAGAAGAAGGGAAAGGATACACGTTTACAAAATAACAACAATAATTAGGAAAAGTGCTTTTTCTGAATGGAAATCTTTGGCAAGAATATATGCGTGCTGTGTGTGTGGTGTTGGTGTGCACGTGGGTACAGGCCCACCTGGGCGACAGTCTCCAACCAGGGTCTGACGGGGTGGGGGGGGGGGGTTGCTACCCGGAGACTGAGGGACCCTTCTCAGGAAAGGCCACGTGAATGCTGAGGCAGCATCAACCTTCAGGAGCTGGAAGCCTAGGAAACAAGCTCCTTGTAGGGGAAGGTTGGCGGGTCAGACCTGGCTCGGGCCTGGGTGGAGCGGGCTGGCATGCCGGGGAGGTGGGATGCTGGTGGGTGGTGGTGTGTGGTGAAGAAAGTGTGAAGGCTGACCCCAGGCTGAGTTCTGAGCTGGCCTGACTAGCCAAGGGCCTGGCGCTCCATCCAGATCAGGTGGCCGTTTTGCCCCTGGGGCTGCTGGGTGCATATTATAATTTGTACAAAGAAAAGGGATGGGGCAATGTCTCCCTCTGTATCGGATGAGATCTGGGGTTACCTAGGAAAAGGGGAGAATCCAGAGATCGGGTATAACTGTCTCAGAAGGAAGAGAACTCTGGAGAAGCCTCGGTCACCAAGCCCAGGGGTTCACTCTTTAGGAAGTCCCTGTTCCTCCACCTTCTGCAGACACTCTCCCTTCCAACTCCTGGAAATGAACGTCCATGCAGATACAGCTTCTTGGAGGAGAAATAATAAAGAGATACACATATCACCCACGTCCACCACTCACACCTCGAGTCCTTCGCACGCTCATAAGCTCCCCCTAGGCCTCTGATGATGGGGGCAGCGCCCAAACTGAAGAGCCACTTGCTGGGCTTTGGGCTTCCTGGGAAATAAAGAGGGAGCCCCCTCCTCTGCTGGGCCTTGAGCAGGGCCCATGAAGGCCAAGGATAGAGGGGAAGGCCCTGGATGCTCCATGGATAAAGCCTCCTACCTCTTGGGCTTTAGTTATTCATGTAAAAAAGACAAGGATTGGTTTATGCCTGGGAGGCAATAAAGCAATATGGAAAAACAATAAATACTTCTTGTTGATGTGTCTATCCTTTTTTTTAACCTTTTCTTAAATTTTATTAGCTTACAGATTCTGTCAGTATGTCTCAAGTATATATTATATATATATTTATATATCAGTACAATGCCTCCCTCTAGGGGACCCCCACAAGCTTAGGGAACACTCCAAACTAGAGACCTGGTGGACCTTACATTTCGGCTTAAACCCTGGGGTGGTTTTCAGAGATTTCTCCCCTGCCTTCTGCTCCTCACACAGCTTGATGCTGTTGGGGGAACCAAGGCAGGAGGAGAAACAAAGAGGTTTGACATTGAAGGTAGGACATGTGGTCCAAGGGAGCTAACGCAGAGCTCAGCTGTCACGCGGGCCCTGCCAGAGGATGCAGCAAGGCCCAGCCTCGAACCATGGAGCACAGGGACTCCCAGCTCTCTCCTCAGCCTCACAGGGTGGGGCTCCTGGATGCACATTTTCCAGGATGAGGCCAAGAGAGGGCACCTGCAGGGAAAAGTAGGAAGGCTCCATTCCCAACACCCCAAAAAAGGCATCATGCAGGTGGCAAGTCTCAGATAAGGCTGGTTCTAGGGTGAGAAACCCAAAATCAGAACTGGGGGGTAGGCGGACTAAGGCAGAGTCCAGAGCTGGTGGGAGCAAAGTGCCCATCTTCCCGCTGAGCAGGAGTGGCCATCAGGGTCTTTGGAGAGAAGCAGGGAGGGCTACCCCAGGCGTGTTAAGAGCCTGCCACCTACCATCTGGTGGCAGTTCCTGCTATGTCCCCTCCCTGCTATCATATCATTGACCTTAATGTCCTCCATAGAGGATGCAGGTGTGTGTGCAAACCCTAGGGACTCAGGTGTGGAGCTGTGTATACCTGGGGCTGACAGGGACAAACAGAAACCCCTGAGGGAGCACACAGGTGGGGATGTGTAGAGACCCACTTGCACAAGCGCATCAGAAGCAGGGCCAGGAGGTTGTAGGGTGCCTCAGGTCTGAAATACTTCAAACAGGAGAAAGTCACCGGCTTGCTTGAAGTCCCCTGCTGGCTCTGTTTGGTGAGGCAATCTACTTGCCAGGTAGCCAGAAAAAGATTTCTGTGACTCGCTTTCTCTCTGCAAAGCAGTCAGGTTATGGAGATGCATGTTTTCCACTTCTCTCCACACCAGGGGTCTCAAAGGCCACTTGTCGGCCTCTTCCAAGGAGCTCCATTCTTTCAGGGGCATGGAGGCAGAATTAGGGAGACCTAAGTGCTTAGGAGGCTTCAGGGGGGTTTGCGCTTTGTGTTGACCTAGTGGGATCCAAGTTACTCTCCTCCATCTCTCTCTCTCTCTCTCCTCTCCCACCCCTCTCCAAGACACTTCCTCTCCCCACGGTGCACTTTCTTCTCTCCACCAAAATTGGCCCAAAGTCCTCCTTCTGGATTCAAGGGTGGTCAGGATTCCTGGGTCCCCTCCCCTGTGGCCCCCTCCCCTGCTGCCCCGGCCCTGGGCAAGGCGCAGGGACTCATCTCTTCTGGCCAGCGCTCTGCATGACCTTGGAGACGAAGTTGACAATGGCGGAGGCCGGCTGGTTGGGGTCGAGCTCAGCGAAGAGGTGGCAGGCGTTATCCGTGGTGCTGCCCTGCTTCCGAGCCACAAAGCCGAAGAGCCTGCAGCGGGTGGGAGAGGGGACAGCGTGAGAGACGAGGAAGGACAAGCGGACAAACGCCACTCCAGACTAACCTCTGTCCTTGTCCCCTCGTGTCTCCCCGGGACTCACAGGCTGGAGGAGGAGCACAAGAGAGAATCTCTGTTCCACAAGAAGAAAAGTGCTGGAGGCAGTGGCCCATTTTGTCCAGGATGGGCTGAAACGCTCCTTTGATAGGGACAGGAAGGGGGAGCCAGGGGCAAACACAGACTGGGTGGGGGCATTCCTAGCCAAGCTTCCCTTGGTCCATCCCAGCCCCACCCTACCAGACTGTTTAAATGCACAGCACCCAAGAGATGAATAAAGCGTTGTCTGCCTACCACAGGGCTTGCCCCCCCACAGGCACTACAAGGTCAGGGGACAAAGGACAGGCAGGTTGTCCTCTTCTCAGCCTGTTATGTTCCCTCTGTACTTCACAGGCTCTGAAGCCAGGAGAGGGCAGTGGACCCCCACACCTGTTCTTTCCCCATCCCAAGCCTGGAGTGACCTAACATTCTCTCTTTGCAAAACAAAGTTAAAAATATGAGAGCAGAGAACAGAATGTGAGCTCAGGTCCCCTCCCAGCCGGCATGTTGCTAATTCGAGCAAGATGGGGAAACCAGGACAGCTGGAGACGCTGATGGAAACCCCTCTCCCGAGCCCTGCACCACAGGGGCTAAAATTAGCAAAGGCGGGCCCAGCTCACGACACATGTGCCTGTGAACACACACATGCACACACAGGTCCGCTCACACATATCCTAACACACACATACTCAGTCCTGTACAGACACATGCTCTCATACAACCTCATACACATTCTTTCACACTTACATACACATTACACACCACACTCAATTATACTATTTTCATATATTCATACACAACACATACATAATCTAATCAAACACACACACTCAAATACACCCTCACAACGAGGTCTGGTGGCCTAGGGGCAAGAAGCTGCACTGCAATCCCAGAGGTAAGCAGTTTGAATCCACCAGGTGCTCTGCTGGAGAAGAGGGGACAATCTCCTCCTGTACCAATCAGATCTGATTTGACAGTACACACACAAAAATAATAAACATAAAAAATACACCCTCACTCCTGCATAAATACATAAACCCCTAAACCACATCCACACGTTCAGTCTCCTGCATTTATACACATTCACATACAATCTCTCAAACACACACTCACGGCCTCTTAAGCACATTCATATACACATGCACTGTGCTGTTTCTCCCCACAGCTCTGCTCCCCTCAAGTGTGCTTCTGGAACTAGAAAGAATAATGCCAAAGACCTGGGAATAAGGGCTCCCAGGAGTGGGCAAGCCTGGGGTCCTTCAAGCCATGTTCAGCTGCTGTGAGGAGGTGAAGGAAATCAGAGTGGGAGAGTGGCCCCAGCTCCTGGCCTGTCATCTTTGTTGTCAACTTAAGCAGAGACCAGTCTTGAGCCTAGTTCACTCAGGTCAACTCCTGCCGACTGCCTGGGTGAGTGTGTGAGGCAAGAAGCCCCACTCTCAACAATCCGACAATCAACAAAGCAAATAGCAGAGGCTCACACAATCCTGAGAGGGAGGGTTCCTTATATTCCCACCCAAGGGGCCTCACTTGTCTCTTCATTCAGGCCTGAGTCCCTCTCACTGGCCTCCTCAGCCTCTCCATGCCACCTCCGGAAGGTCTCTTCTGGATGAAACTCAGCCCCAGAGGCCAGCGTGAGGTCGCCTTTGCAACAAGTGGGCATCAGGATCTATCAACGTTTTCAGCTGAGCCACTATGTGTATGACCTTAGCAAGGAAAAAAGTCCTTCCTGATGCTCCTCCAGGGGGACCCCTCCCCATCCTTCTCCTGCCTGTGTTTACTCCCATCTTCACTTTGAGGGACACAGTCCTGCCACAGTCCTGTCTGCAGGGTCTGTCTCCGCCCTCACATCCATTTCTACTCACCCAATTTGTACCTGTCTTTTCAGACTCCTTTGAAAACTGTCCCTTCCTTCCCATTGCCTTCCCCATTCTCTCTCTGCCAGGACACACTCCTTTGTTCACACTCGCATGTGAGGCCTGGACCTAGCTAAAGTCACACAACAAAGGTCTCAATTCTTTTTTTAAAGTGAAACTTTTCTTTCTCTATACAAAGCCAGGCAGTTCAAATTTACCAGTTTGCCTTATGGGGGAAAAGACGGGCAAATCTCCGCCCATGCAATTTACTGCCTCTGAAAACCCACTAGTGGTCCAGCTATGAGTTGGTTCCAACTTCACAGCATATAACAACAACAAACCATTCTTAATATGAAGTCTGAGTATAAAAGTAACTTTTTATTACTCTAAAGGTATCCAATCAAAATTTACTTCTTAGAAAAGGAAGGGAAATGGGGCTGTTTTGCTGGGTCTGAGTGAGGTGTGAATGAGACAGTCTCAGATCAATATTACTAACTAGGTTCTTCTCATACTTGGTTTTGTGATGTTCTGAAAACTCTGATTCACACAGAAATGACTGTGAACATGAACGGGATTTGAGTTTCATTTTCTTCTCAACAGTTCTGCAATCTGAGGGCTCTCTTTAGGCAAAGAGAGAAAGTGAGAAAAGTTTTAAGAAAGATTCGAGAAAGCAACAAGCTCTCTCTCATAGCAAAAGTGAAATAAAAAATCGAATCTCCTGATTGGCTAATATGTGGTACTGGGAGTATTTTGATGTGCTATTTATTCTGCTTTCAAAATTGTTTATACACACATGCTGTTAGGTGTCACTGAGTCAACTGTGACTCACAGTGACCTTGTGTACATAGGTACATAGACCAAACCCTTGTCCAATCCTGTGCCACCTTCACAATATGAGTGGTGAGTGTATATGTGTGTGTGTGTGTGTGTGTGTGTGTGTATATATATATATATATACACACACACACACACATACATACGTATGTATAGCTCCCTGGTTGACCCAAAAGAACTCAGTTCAAATCCACCAACTGCTCTGTGGGAGAAAGATGGGCAACCTCCTCTCACTGTCTCTAAAAATCCCACTGGTGGGTCAGCTCTGAGTTGGTTCTACCCTGATGGCACATAACAACAAAGATACTGTGTTGACTGACAGGCAGACTCTTCGCCAGAATTTGTACACAGATTCCCCTCACTCTCTCACTGCCGTCAAATCAGAACTGATGTGTAGATTGGGTTTCCCAGGGTATAAATTGCACAGGAAGAGAAGATTCGCTTTTCTCCCTCAGAGCTGCTGGTGAATTCAAACCACTGGAGAGGCTCAGCCTTTGGACCAGGAAGCAGCTCCCTATGGATGAAGCCACCAGAGCTTCCTGTATATCTATCTGTAAAGTGAAATTCAAACCACATGATGGTAAAGCCCCTAAACCCCTCTGTAGAATTTGAAGGTTCCTTGGAACATAGTTTCAAAACCACTACAGCATCTTCATGCTGTTCAGACATTCACTGGGGGCCGGTGCTAGGCCTGCTGAGGCCGGAGCTGATGCCCTAGCATTACCTGAGTCCTCCAGAGCTCAATTCTCCAAAGGCCCTTAGGACAGGTGAAGTGTATGACGGCACTGTCCAAAAAGTCCTAAGACCATCCCCAGAATTCAGACTTTGTGGGAACTCTCCTTCAATGAGAAGACTCGGTCTTACCAAGAGGTCCACAGAAGCCTCCCAAAAGAGCAAGATCAAGACGTCAAGATTCAGAGGGAGAGTTTAAACAGCTTCCACCTCACAGCTGTCACACACACACACACACCCCAAAACTCTCAGTCTTTGGGTTTTTTTTTAATTTTCTTTTTATTATTTGTTTGTGTGTGTACTGTCAAATCAGATTTGACTGGTACAGGAGGAGATGGTTCCTCCTTCTCCAGCAAAGCATCTAGTGGATTTGAACCACACACCTCTGGGATTGCAGTGCAGCTTCTTGCCACTAGGCCACCAGAGCTCGCTGACTCTCAACTTTTTGTCTCCACCTTCAGACCCCTGCTGCCTCTGATCCTGGAAGAGGGAGGCGTGCAAGATCCCAGCCAGGCCTTTGGCCCTGAGGCAGAAAGAGACTAAAGACCTGCCTGACAGGCTCACTTTTCTTCAAAACTCCACTATCTTGCTGCTTTTTCTGTAACTTCTTGTTCTGGGCTGTAAACATACCCCCCTACAACCCTTCTTTAAAAAAAATATTAAATTTATTTTAATGAAAGTTTACAGAGACTTTGGATTTCCATTCATTCATTCATTGTTACACTTTCCTCCCTGCCTGTCCTTCTCTTAGAAAACTAAAAAAAAAATTCTTTCATTGTTATTCAATCCCTCACTCCAAGTCTACACCACCATGCTACCTTCGTTCTGAACTCCTGTCATAACAATAATATCTAATCATATATCCCTTTTAAGTTGTTCTCTCTCTCAACTGTTTTAATGCAGTAGACATTATTTATCCCATCTTTCTCAGTCTCCCCCCCAAAAAAAAACTAGGTCAGTCCAACTCAAAGTGGATCAGGGACCTAGGACTAAAACCAAGGACTATAAACGTCTTTAAAGAAAATCTTGGAAGAACCCTATAAGTCCTAATCCACAACATAAACAACCCTTCTTCACAGAGCATAGAGAAAGACCAATTAGGAGGAGAGGGAGGGGGAGGGGGAGGAGTTAGACTTACTTCGCAGGGGCACCTCCCTCCGTTTTCATCCACCTGTGGAGGAAAAGATGGCACAGGGCATAAGTCATGATCCTTCTCCCCGAAGCCCAGACACATCGCACCCAAGCCATCTGCAGGAAGCCAGAAGAGACCCACATGGGGCATCCGGGAGGGAAGACACCATAGCCGCCCTACAGAGCTGTCCCTCCTGTGGAGAGCAGCAGACATGGACATGGAAGAGGGGACAAGAATGGCATCTTAGTCCCCGAGAGGATGTCTAGAACATTTTTTTCCACAAACGTGGAGGCCAAGATGTCCAGCACCATCCCCCCGACTCCCACAGACCAGGGGGAAACGCCACGTTGAATCAAACACTTATGCCAGTGTTATGGAGCTGGGTGCAAAGGGTGGTGTCCCCACTGACTTACTTTCTTTCCTGTGGATCCAGCGCACAGAAGGTGACAGTGTTGAGGGGATAGTGTCGTCTGAAGAAGAGCCTGTGGCACAGACATCAAATAGACAATGAGTGTCTAAGTGGACATTTCCCCCATGCGCCACCTAGATGTCCGGCTACCTTCCCACCATCTGCAGTGAGCATGGGCTCATACAGTCTCTGCTTGGCTTCTAAGATGCTCCACAACCACCTTGTCAGTACGAGCAAGGTGGACCTGAGCTGTTCAGATTGGGGCTGTAAGCAATGCACAGGCACAGACAAAGCTCTCCAGAATCCTAGGGACTGGCAAGGGAAGAGCTGGGTGACGCTGTGAGGGGAGGATGCAGAGCCTGTGGCCCACAGATCACCAAAGAACAGGAAGGTGGGAGGGGAGCCCTTAGAAGAAAGGAACTTCTATCAATTGAATTTACAGTCAATACAAGAGTATTTGTTGAAGGGTAAAAGGAAAGGTAGACAGTTCTATAAGTCGATAGAGAAATGAGAGAAGTGGGTAGATGAGGATTGATGGATGGACGGATCAGATGGTGAGTTCTGGAAGGATGGATGATTGATGGATGGGTGGATTTGATGGATGGATGGAAGGATGGATGGTTAGATGGATCAACTGGTGAGTGCTGGATGGATGGATGGATCAACTGGTGAGTGCTGGAAAAATGGATGGATGGATGGATGGATGGATGGATGGATATCTGAATGATTCATTCAAATGAATGTGGAAGAATGAAAGAGTGAGCAGCTGGAAGTGGATAGGAGATGGATGAACAGTGGAGGAACAGTAGAGAACTGGAGAAGATAAATTAATAGCTAATTGGGAAGGTGAGTGGACGGGCAGATGGAAGGGGGGATGGCAGGAAACCAAGCCCAGCACAGAAGCAGGTAGACCATTCTTACTTTCTCTGGTTGTCAGTCAGAGTGATTCCCTGGGCGGAGACCTTGAAGTGAACAATAGTGGCGGCTGGTGTGGGATCAGCAGCCAGCGTCTCAGAAGTAGCTTTGGAGATGGCCTGAGGCCCAGTGAGTGACTCCATGTCCACAGAGTTGACGAACAGCACATTGCAGGCTGGGGGAAAAAACACACCACCCACGTTGTCATGGGCCTGGAGTGGGCAGGGTCAATGTCGCAGCTCCCCTTTTCAGGAAGAGGACAGAAGTGGATTTCAGGCCAGCCTTGACCCAAGGCTTCACACACAGAAAAGGGGTCTGCTCGAAGGAATCTGGGAGTCGGAAACGTCCAGCCTGCAACTGCAGGTGGAACACGGGAGGAAGCAGGGAAGCCTTGGGCCGGGGTTCAGCCCCTGGTGGCCACTCACCTGCCCCTTGCTTCAGCAGGTCTGTGGTGGAGTTGGCAGAACCAGAGCTATCTTTCGATTCATCTGTGGGGTCTGAGACAAGAATTCAGTTAGTAACAAAGCCCCTACAGCTGGAAGGCAGCATGCACTGGGCTGGGCCCAAGGTGAGCAATGCAAGAAACCTGAGGCAGCTCTGTGGATACTTTCTGCAACAGATACTTGCTTTTAACAAAGAACCTGCTCACTGGCACGGCGCACGCTCAGTATGAACATCCAATGATAACTCCGAATATAAGCACACTGGTTAAGGACTCTGGAGCCCAACAGAACTGGCCTCACTGTATTTGCACAGATGTTTCATGTGCCATCAAGTTAGAACTGATTCAGGGCTGACCCAGCATATTTTCAGAGGCAATAAATTGCACAGGAGGAGATTGCCCATCCTTCTCCAACCTTTGCTGGGCGTCTATATATAGAATGGAGATGATGCTAATAGTCCTCCCAGTTCCTAGTTCTTAGACCTCACACTCGGGGTCTAGGAACCTTAAGAGGGGGTGGAGTACAGGGAGCTGTGTGATAGGAGAGCTTGTGGAAGCCACACACAACCTCCACGTTGGAACCTCTCTCTGAGAGATGCTAAAATCTCCTCCAGCCCCAGCACCTCAATGAATCTGGGCCCTGTGTGTGGGGATGCCTTTTGCTCCTACTCTTTCTCACCCTCTCCTCAGACAGTCACACAGCCTAGAAACTCCAGGGACAGCCTGGCCCTGGCCCTCTTTTTACTTATCACGTAGAGCCCAGCCTGCGGTCACCCTGAGCCATTCCTCGCGTGCACTCTTTGCCCTTTATAACCTTCCACACCCTAAATCTGCCTTCTACGGCCCCTTCCTTCTACCCCACCCATCATCCTCCAGGTATGGTCCTCCCTCAACTCTCTTCCTAACGCCCCCCCCACCCCGGGATACAGCTCACTGAGAGGGTTCAGTATGAACTTCTTAAAGCCTCCAGTGGAATTTCCAGGATGATCTGGCAAATCAAATATCTATGTCCTTGGAGTCCATTTTCTTAATTAATTTTTCCTTCTTCTTTATTATGCCAAAAGGAGAGTGGTTTTGAGTTACCCCAGACTGGTAAGATGACCCAACAACGCTGGCCCACGCTCCAGACTGACTGGCAGGGTTGAGACATGGAAGGAGGCCAGTTCAAGGACAACATGGTGAATGAGGAGTCTCACATTCCTACCTCGGTTTGGAATGACCAGCTTACAGGGCAGAGCCAATGGGATGATGGAGTGCTGGTAGACCAGGGCAGACAGAGATCCTGCAAAGGGGGAAGAAACAGCACATCAGAGCAGGGTTACAGGAGTGGGCCAAGGGCAGCATGCGAACCATCTCCTGCTGTATGCAATCTTTATCTTCTCTGTTACCTCACCCTCATCCAGCAACCAAACTGATAACCTATCCCTTTTTTACCCCCCTCACCCAGCAAGACTCAAAGAAGAAATGGTGCAACCACTCTGGAAGGCAGTTTGTTGCTTCCTCAAAAAGCTGAACATAGAAATTTCATATGACCCACCTATCCCACTGCTTGGAATATACCCTGAGAATATGTGAACTGAGGCACAAATTGAGATCTGCACACCAATGTTTATAGCAGCATTATTCACCCTCGCAAGATCATGGAAACAGCCCAAATGTCCAACCACAAACGAATGGATTGAAAAATTATGGTACATTCACACAATGGAATATTATACAGCACATGGGAGCAATAACTTTGTAAATTATTATCTAACTTGGGAGGGACTGGAGAGCATTATTCTGAGTGAACTAACTCAGCCCCACAAGGATAAATATTGTAAAAACCGTTATTGTAGAATGAGTGTAAGGATCCAGGAGGGGTGGGAGAGGCTGGAAGCAAATGGATGTGGATGTGCAGGGGGAAGAGCGGATTAATCATTGGGTTAAACAATTTGATGGGTGGGAGAGTGAGGGAAATTGAAAGAATTTGTTCAAATTTGTATTTGAATTTTGTAAATAAACTAGTAGGGGGAAAAAAATAAAATACAAGAATAGAACTTGAAGAAAAAAAGACGCCTAACAATTTTCCTTTACTTGAAACTTCTGCGGGCCTCTCTCGAAGACATCCCTCCAGCTATGTTTCGACAGAGTCATAGGTGTGTAAGGGGCTCTGGGACGGAGAACTGAAGATTGACTCCTAGGTTAGTCACTTATCCTGTACAAGAATTTGGGTAAGTTTAACCTGCCTGGACTTTCATTTGCTCCATTGTAAGATGGGGACAATGACGAGCATTCTTGTGAAGATCAGAAGTAATAACATAAGGCATCTAGACGGTGACTCAGGCATCGTAGGTGGGTAACAAAGGCAGCTGTTGTTCAACTATGAAGCTATCCAAGCTATAGTGATAATACAGTGTCTCAACTGGGACAAATACAGACAGGAATTACACAGAGCTAAGGAGCCACCGCGCAGAGGAGAGGAAGTCATTGCTCATTTTCTGCTCACTGTTCATTACCTTTATTATGAACAAGGAGGCCTGAGCAGACCTACAACAGAAGGCATTTAGATCAGAGTCCTCGAGGAACCGAGGCTAAATCAGAGCTTCTGAGAGCGGGCTCTGGATGCAAAGGCAGGCGGACAACTCACCGAAGTTTGGCTCATTGGGGCAGCCTTTGAGCTTGACTCCTCTGGGACCAGTCTCGATCAGGAAATGCCTCACCAGCTCATGGGTCATATCTCCTGGGATGAAGCAGAGGAAATAAGAATTAATCACTTCTCAAGGCCTCCTCCCTCCACCTCCCAAGAATGCTTCCTAACATCCCCAGTATGCAGATAAGAGAAAGGGTTCTGCAGGAAACATAGCAAGAACCTTCTGGAATGAAATGACTACAACTCCTATCTCACTCTTCATGGAAGCATAACTTTAGAGTGCCAAGAATCCTGTTCCTCCATCCTCTGATTCCAATCATCACCAAGCCCAAGACTTGCTCTTCTGAGGAGTCTCATGTAGCTGGGACGAATCAGGTCTGATGAGAATTAGAGACCTTCCTACTTCCAGGGTTTGAAGTGACTGTACAGATCACCTGGTCCTGGGACCCTTGTTCTTAAAGATGACACTACCTTTTTTATTTTGCTGCATGATGGTCGGAGGGGGAGATGACACCTTCATAGCCAGCCCATAGGCTCCTCGGAATGAGTGGCTGTCACGGATGATGAAGGCCCCCGGCTCCTGGTCCTTCAGGAGTGCAATGGCTGGTCGTTGAGGAGGGATCAAAGAGAGAGGAGGCAAGAAGTTAGTCCAACTGTGACTCTCGGCCCTCATGTATTCTTAGATGAAACAGCTTCTTTAATGTTAGAATTTATACATTCTTTAGAACGCTCCTGGAGTCAACTCATTGACAGGCTTAGCTGCTAGTCAAAAGGTTGGAGGTTCAGTTCCACCAAGAAGCACCTTGGAGGGCAGAGCTGGAGGCTGACTTCCAAAACCCATCCCCTGAAACCCGACAGAGAATACTTCCACTCCAAGACCCGAGACCCGGGGGGGTTACTGAGTCAAGTCAACTAAGCACACAGACCAGAGTCCCGGAGGAACCCGGGCCAGGACCTGAGCTTCGGGGACCGGGCTGGTAAGAGTCCTCCAGAGAAGCTCAAGCAAACATTATCTGTAAAAAGCCAGTCAGTAAATATTTTAGGGATTGCAGGCTATGTAGTCTCTGCTGCAACTACTCAAATCTACCACTGCAACAGTAAAGTAAGCATCAACAATGCATCAAAGAATGGGTGCGGTGGTGTTTCAATAAAACTGTATATAAAAAGCTGGCAGAGTCTACATTTTTTTTAACAGAGTCTACATTTGATCCATGGGTTGTTGACCCAAGTTCTACACTACATAATCTATTCTTCAGAGCTGATGTGGGCTTCATCTCCATCTCCACATCCCAATTCTGCTTTATCTTTAAGTGAAACCAAAGCTCTGTGCTGTTAAGGAACCCTCAAAGGACACTGGACAATCTCAGACTCTGCTGTCCCCGTGCTCCATCACGGGAAGGAACCATGCACCGCCCGACCTATCCAGGCCCCTCTCTGGCCACCCCTTACTACAGGGGGAATGAGGGTCTTCTCTGGCTGGTGCTCCTTGCTCAGGGAAGACCCAGGCCTTGAAGCAGCCAGTGGTGTCCACTGAGGACCCTCCGGTCACAGCACAGCCCAGCACTCACCCTGTTCTCGTGAGATCTCAGGCTTGTACCAATATTTGGAAGTGTCCTGGACAAACTTTACTTTAGCCCGCGTCTCAGGGCTGTTGTCTAAAGGAGAAAGAGAAGAGAAGTTAGTCTCTTCAAGCATTTGTAGGCAAGAAAGAGCCTGGAACACCTTCTCATCCATTTCCAGGCAGGAGGCACGTCCACCACCTTGGATCACTGAGCTGCTGTTCTCAGCTGAGCCAGCTTCCTCCCACTACTTTCCCACTTCCCTCGAAGACCCTGATACCCTCCTATTTCTACACTAGGTCTTTGCAACTTGCAGCTCCTTTCTTCCTAAGCTCAATTGCCCAACATCATCATAACAACTGGGAGGATGCAAGAACAAGGATCACTCATCTTTCTAAAGATGCATTTCTGACAGCTCCCCAGAACTCCCCCTTATCATCCATGGGCCCCTCTTTCCTGGCAGAGCTCCTTCCCTGACTCTCTCCACATCATGGTGGCTTTCACTGAACATTAGGTCCTGGAAGGAAGCATGGCGAGCATCTCATCCAATTGAGAGAGAAAAATAAGGATCAGAGAGTGGTCATGACTCTCCAAGTCACACAGACGGCTGACAGAAAGTTTTAGAAACATCTTCCCAAATAAGGAGTGTTGAGTACCATCGAGTCAGAACTGACTCAGAACTGACCCTACAGCGAGTTTTCAGAGGCAGTTCATTGCACAAGAGGAGACTGCCCATCCTTCTCCCGTGGAGCAGCTTGTGGATTCGAACCACATGCCTTAGGGATTGGAGTGCAGTTTCTTAGCGCTAGCTCTACCCAATCTTTCTGTCCAGGTATTAGGATGTGTGGTGTGCACTCTCCTACTACTTCATTTACCTCTTGGGGACAAATAAAACAGAAAGGGGTGAAATGAGAAAGAAGGAGAGGTAACGGAATATTCCAAGGTCAAATTCTGCTAGCATAGGTCAACAACAACAGTTGGTAGGTAGGGAGGTGCACCGCCAATGCCAAGGCAAGTGACTGTACTCTATCAGTAGCTCTGTGGGAGAAAGACAGGCAATCTCCTCCCACTCAATTTAGAGCCTCTGAATATCTGCTGGAGGGTCCGCTGTGAGCCAGTTCCAAGCTCAACAGCAATGAGGGGTTTTATCTCTTTCCTCCAGAGGATACCAGTGTTAAAGACGCTCTGGATGTTTTCTCTCCAGACTGTGTCCATTTCAGTGTAGGATCTGTGCTCCCCTAGACTTCTGGAAGAGCGCTCTGGTGGCAAGAAGTTGCACTGCCAGGCCAAAGATGTACAGTTCAAATTCACCAGCTCCTCCCTAGCAGAAAGATGGGCAATCTCCCCTCACGTGATTTACCACTTCCGAAAACCCACTTGAGGGTCAGATACGAGTTAGTACCAACTCATGGGTATATAACAACAGACTTCTGGGAAGGCACTCCGTAGTGCAGTGGTTGAACACCTGGCTGATAATTAAAAGGCTGGCAATTCAAACTCACCAGTGACCCTGCATTAGAAAGATGTGGCAGTCTGTTTCAGTCAAGATTATCACCCTGGGAACCCTCTGGGACAGTTCTACTCTGTCCTGTCAATTCACTGTGAGCTGGAATTGACTTAATGGTCCTGGGTTTAGACTTCTGGGATCTTCATCTCTGGGGCAGGGTAGCTCCCTTTCCGTACAGCTGTGCACAGCAGGAGGCAGCTGGGGTGCACAGTCGGGTCCTGCAACCGCTGCATGCTGCTCTTCTCTCTCTAATCCGAAGCCCCCAGGCCCCACCACTGCTCTGGCCTATTTAATGAGCTGTCAGAGGCAGCTACAGTCCCATGTGCCTTCCTGTGTTGATTCCAGTGGTTATTTTAAGCAGGGAAGATGGTGGGAAACAGGAAGTGCTTCAGCAACTACAAATTCTGCATCCTCTAAGGAGAGGAGCTGGGAACCAGATGTCTCTGGTGGGTGACAGGAAGCAGGGGTGTGCAAGGTCGCCATAAAGTGTCCCAGGCTGGCAGGCTCAGGGAAGGGCCTGGGAGGGACGCACTGAGAATGTGGGCAGCTGGTGCTCATCCCAGGGCTCCAAAACACTCTAAATGGCCTTGATCACCCTGGGGTCAAGTTGGAGATCTGGCCAAGAGGCTACAAGGCCTGCTGAGACCCTGACCTCTGCATAAGGCAACAGGCTCTTTCAACAAAGATAGAGATGAAAGTTCTGGGGACGAATGACGCGGTCACTGCGCGAGGCTGGGCAGGCCTCAGTAAAGCCAGGTGAGTACAGTCTAGATTCCAGTGCAAATGTCCAGTTTGTGGGGTTGGCTCATGTCACACTTCCGGTTGTCAGAACCATTATGAGGGGATGTGAATGCTACTGGGAATCAAAACATGGTTAACAGCAGGCTGTGGACCAACAAAGGCACAGAGGTCCAGGTTTGGAAAGAGTACTTTCACAGTGACACTGAAATGCAGGAACTCTCAAGCTTTGGAAATATGATTAAGACAACTCCAGCAACAAACTTAAGAGGACCAGTTTTAGGCAAACTTAATTGGATTTGTGACAAATACATGAGCTTCTCTAAGCTTTAGTTTTCTCTTGTGTAAAATAAAGCCCATCCTATGAGTTTACGTAAGTAAGAAATATTACTTAGTTAAGGGCCCAGATCATAGTATGTTCTCAATAACTGTTAGTGGCTGTGGTGGTGATGACAACAATCGTACCATCAGAATACGTTCATTGTCATCACCTGCATCTTCACCTTCACTGCTGAATCCCTGGTAACACAACTATTTGAGGACATCTAAAACTCTGGTTACACAGATATGGAAACTGAGGCTCAGAGGACCGGGGTGACTGCCACGGGATGTGAAATAGAAACCAGGGCAGACGTCCTGACTCTCAGGCATAATCTGTCAGGCAGGAGGTGAGAATGGGAGGAGAGGCCCACCTGGCATGGAGTACTTGGAGAAGTCAGGCAGAGTGTGCGAGAAGGAGACAGTGCTACCCCCGCTGGGGCTGGACATGCCGCTGGCGACAGGTGAGGAGGACACCTTCCCATTGATGGTGGCGTAGTTGGGGAGGCTGCCTGCTCGGTCTCCCACTGACATCCTCCGCTTCTCTGGCAAGGCTGGTGTTGGGCTCCCTTGCCGGAAGGCTGCTGAATCCGGCGAGGGGGAGGTGGCAGGGCTGCTCAGGCCAGGGTAGTAGGCAGGGGAGACCGGGAAGGAGGGCGTGGACGGGGCCTGGTAGCCAGAGGCACTGCTCTGCCGGGACAACGTGGGTCTCCGCTCGTCAGGAGTGGAGTAGCCGCCATAGGCCGCGTGCCGGTCCAAGCTTGGGCTGCCAGGAACCACCGATCCGGACCCTCCAAGGTGACGCCCCAGGCTGGGGCTCCCAGGGCTGCCTACTGCACCGCCATGGAGACTGGAGGCCAGGCTGCCCTGGTGGGCCCCAGGGTGCCGGCCCAGGCTGGGGCTCCCAGGGGTAGTGGCTACATTGCCATGGAAGCCTGAGGCCTGGGGGGCTCCTGCAGGGTGACGGCCTAGGCTGGGACTCCCTGGGGTGGTGACCATATTACCATGGAAGCCCGAGCCTTGAGTGGCTCCTGCAGGGTGTCGTCCCAGGCTGGGACTCCCTGGTGTGGTGACCACACTGCCAGGGAAGCCAGAGGCCTGGGGGGCACCTACTGGGTGCCGACCCAGACTGGGGCTCCCTGGAGTGGTTGCTGCACTGCTCTGGGGGCTGGAGATCATGTTACTATGGAAACCAGTTCCTACATTGCCATGTGGACCTATAACCTGGCGATGGCTCAAACTGGGGCTGCCAGGGGCAGCCATGCCGGGGTTGGCAGCACGCCGACCAAAGCCAGGACTAGAAGGAGTGTTGGTGCCCACTGTCCTGTGACGTGCCTGCGGGCTCCCAGGTGTCGTGTGGGTGCCGGTCACGCCAAACTGAGGCCGGGCCTGGCTCTCGGGAGACGAGTTGAACTGCTGGAGGGAGTAGTCGGTGCTGCTGTAGCTGCTGCCCACGGTCGGGAGAGGAGAAGAGCTCTGGTAACTTCTCTGGGCTGAAGGGCTAGGTTGCCCCAGGCTGCCGGAGCGGAAGCCAGAATCCAACAGAGGCTGGGTGGGTGTTCGGGGGCCCTGGTCACTGCTCTCCGCGGAGGGGAAACTGCTCACTGAAGTGCTGGGGGAAAGAGGGCAGATAGAGACGTCAGCAGAAGACATTTATGAAGCAACGCAGTGAACTTTCCCAGCCCATCAGCTCCTCCCTCCAACCACAAACACCTGTAATAACAGCTCTAGCCGCTGAGCACACGAGAGCCTTTACACATTCCATTTCAGAACCATTGCTGCAAGCCTGCAAGGCTGACATTACTGATCATCCTCATTTGACGAAGAAGATACTGAAGTTCAGAGACATTATGCTCAGGACCACATAGCCCATAAAAAGCAACTGAGGTTTCATCTCCTCTGTGCCAGATTCCAAACTGCGCCACTGAGGTGTTAACCTAAAAACTGGCTTTTAAAAAGCCATTTCGGTTAGCTGCCTCTGGTCTCCAGCTACCTTAACTGAAGACAATGGTCTTGCAGATCACCATGGTCTTAAAAATCAACAGCTGTGGGACTAGGGTAAGACAAAGAGGGCTTTCCACGCTAGGCAACAAGACTTGAGGTGAGAAAAATGTGAAGCAAGGCTTGTGGTGGCAAGACCCTGGTGAGAGCGAGACTCTGATGGTGGAGAGACTGTGGCATTGCTGTGGACTGACGGTGGCAAGGAGCAACCTGAGGCTTTTTGCATTTGTGCTAGCCACAGCTAAGGTCTGGCTGTTCTTGCTGGATGTTTGAAGGAGAAGCTGACTTATAACTGCTCTGGGGCAAACCTTGCTGGATGATTTGGATTTGACTACTGAACTAAAACCGGAGACTAGATTTATTGAAGAATTGTGCCTTGGAACTGCTGGTCTAAAACCTGGACTTGTTCTGGGTGATACTTTGCCTCCTCCACTCTCCAACTTTCTTCCCTAATGAACCCCATTGCTGGTACCATAACTGTGAGTCTGTGAGTCAACAACGAATAAACGAACCTCTTGCTGTTGACGTGGCTCCAGAGGCATCATGGGGCTGGGCTACAGGCTCTTGATCTGCTTTCTACTCTGGTAGAGGTACAGGGAGGGCCTGTGCTATTCTCACTCCCCTTGGTCCTTTCAGAGAGACTCTCATGGCCCTGTACCCCCATGGCCCATCTTCCCCACTTTAGACAGGTTTCGTCTCCACTGCCAGATTCTAAACTGCACCTTGCAGAGTCTTGAAGCCAAGTGAGGAGGTCTCTCAGCATCACATAAACTGAGAAGGAATCAGATTACCCAGCTCCTGTTCCTACCTGACTAAGTTTCTCCCCAAGTAATACTACATCCTTAATATCGCCAGGGAGAATGCTAGAAATAAGGGCCACAGAAAGCAAAATCAAGGGATAATGATGGAGATTTCAAAGGCTATTTTGGCTCATTATGAGGTCTACTTTCTAGAGTAGATCAGTCCACTAACAGAATAAGCTGTAAGGCACAGTCACAAGGCTTCCACCACCACTGTTGTTTACCATTGAGTGGAATCGACCCAGAGCTGACCCTCAGAGACCATTTAATCGCACAGGAGGAGACTGCCCATCATTCTCCCATGGAATAACTACTAGATTTGAACTGCATGCCTTTGGGATGGCCACACAGCTCTTTATACCACTAAGCCACCAGAGTTCTGACTCCCATCGCTAGACATATTTAAACACAGGCTGACAGACCTCTGGACCTGCATGTTGTGGAGACAACATGCACTGAGAGGTAAGCTATGATGAGGCTGACAGTCATCCCTAATTGTAAGATGCTGATAAAATTCCATTCAGGGGGGCTCTAGCTGGAAGAACAGCCACCACCTAAGTTTCCCCTCTGAAGAGAAGAGCAGGTTCTCAAGGGAACTCAGCAGAGGACTGCAATGGAATGGGAGCTTCAACACACGGATTGTCTTCACTAAAGTTTCCCCACGAGGACAATAAAGGTGCCATCATATCAGCTCTGACTCAGAGAGATTCTGTGTACAGGAGAACTAAACTCTGCCTAATCCTGTGGTATCCTCCCAATTGCCACTGTGCCAATCAATTTGATGAGGTAAAGTACCTCTCAGGCCTGCTGAAGCAGAGAGGACTGAGTTAGTCTTTGGCAGGGTAAAACCAAGTTCTCCTTGGAGGCAAGGATTTTAAAGCTCCTAGGGCATGTGGCCTGGAGGGACAAGCCCTTGGAGAAAAACATCATGCTTCGAAGGGTAGAGGGACAGTGGAGGAGAGAAAGACCTTGGATAAGATGAACTGACACTGTAACTGGTGTTATAGGGGTAGGTGTGTCAGAGTCAGTGAGACTGGCTCGGGCTAGGGCAGGCTTCAGAGCTATTGTACACAGGATCACTATAAGTCACCAATGGCTTGATGGTACATAACAACAAGAAGTCATTCCAAGGGAGTTCTGGTGGCCTAGTGGGTAAGACGTGGGGCTGCCAACCTAAAGGTATACAGTTCAAATACACCAGCTGCTCTGTGGGAGAGAGACAGGCAATAAAATCCCTTCCCATGCTATGTATATCCTCTGAAAGCATACTGGTCAGTTATGAGTTGGTTCCAATTCAACCACGGTGAATAAATGAAATTCTTTGAGGATAGAAGTTTGCTTCTATCTACAACATGGCAATTTCGACCCCAGGAGCCCAGTGGTGTCAGTGGTGACGGAAGATAAAGAGCCTCAGAACTGGCTGCGTAAGCTCGGGTCCCCAGGATGATGCAATATTTGGGGTGGAACTGGATGCTCTTGTGCCAGACAAGACAGCAAAGGGCAAGGAGAAGGTCAAAGTCAGAAACAAAGCCTAGCTAGTCCCCTAGAGAAGGGGCCAGGGTGACACACGACCTGGTGTGGAAACACTGGATGCTGAGAAACAGCCGGTAGAACTGAAAGCATTAGTCTGAGCAAGGCGGGGGGGGGGGCACTGATAAGGACTTCTGGAAAATTAGTTATCAGAGAAAAACCCATGCAGTTCCTGAGTCATGAGAATCGCCAACACTACAGCCAAAGAAATTTGGATGAGAAAAGTGAAGAACCTCAGACACCAGGGCTCACTGAGTGTTAATGGGGGGGAGGGACCACTGAGTGTTAATGGGGGGGGAATCCCTTCCCCTTGGCCCAGAGTCGGACCTTCTGGGAAACGGGAGCTGAATGGTTGTCTGTGACTGCAAAGGGTGAGGAGGGGGCCCCACACTTGGCTTAAGAATTCTCAGAACCCTCGGGTCACTTAGCCACTCTCACCTGAGAGTGGAGTTCATACAATGGACCCATTTAGGGTCCACAGGCAACCCAGACCAGTGGGCCTGGCCTATGAGAAGGAAGTGGCTGAGGCATTTCCCAGGCTCCTCCTGGCCCCAAGGCAGCCCAGGCTAAGGAGGGCAGTGGGCACAGGAAGGGAGGTAGAGGAGGATCTCCCTCCTGGGGGCACGAGTTCCACCCAGAAGAGACTAACTTCGTTCCCTTCCTGTACGGGGGACTCTGCACCTGGAGTTAACCCTCCCATTCTTAAGCTTCTTCCCCTTCCAATGTCCTAAACCTTCACCACTCCCTCCTGCTCCACACAAGGAGCTTCTCACTACCCATCTGAACACGGACACGTCACTCTGACCCACGCACAAGGCCAGGGCCCACCCCTCTGCGTAGTCCTCCTCCCCTGCAGGCTGCAGCCCTCAGCCCCCACTCCCACGGCCTTGCCTCCAGCCCACGTCCTTCCTGTGCTGGCCTTCTACAGCCCTCTCACGCCTCCTGTGCCCTTCACCATCCTGCGGCTCCTGCCAGACACCACAAGTACCTCCAGGCCCAGCAACGCTCTCTGCATCCCTGGCCAGAAATAAAGACTCCTCATTTTGAGCATCAGGGAGCTCTGGTGACCTAGTCAGAAGGAGCGGCACTGCCATTCCAAAAGCACACGGTTTGAATCCATCAGCCGTTCCATGTGAGAAAGATGGGAAATCTCTCGTTCGATTAAGCTGCCTCTGAAAACCCGCTGGAGGGTTGGCCAGCTATGGGTTGGTTCTCACTCGATGGTTCACAAAATCATCACTCTGAGGACAGGGCATGCCCCTGCTCCGGGGCTGTTGGGACTCTCACTCTGGGTGGATGGCCTCGGGTGCAGGTGGAGGTAGTTAGAGACCCAGACTCAAAACCGGATGCTTTAAGTCTGAATCCAGTTCCTGTTAATACTGATCTGTACTATCGAGAGCAAGGTGTTTTCACCTCTGTGGGCCTCAGTCTCTCCTTCTGAAGAATGGGACTAATAGCAGAACTCACCTTTAGGACTGTCATGAATAGAAACAATGTAGCTGTCGGAAGCACTAAGGGGTGTGCCTGGTACATAGGGGATACATGACTACAGATTAGTGACCACCGTTGTTAAAGCTTAAGCCCATCTGCCTCTGAGCCCACTATTGAATCTGCGCTGTTCTGGACAGATGGAATTGAGCTGAACCTGGAAAGTTGATCTTAGCCAATCCATGCTCCTCCAGGAAGCAGGACCTTGGGTTGCTCTGTAAACACGTGCTGGTGAGCTGGTTTATGGAGGCAGCATCTGGATGTGACTCCTGCCATTCACACTGTAGGCATTCCGAGGTTCGCATCTCCCACCCACCACACACCTCTGCTTACCTGTCAGCGCTGAGGATGGGGCTGCTGGTAGAGAGGGGGCTCGGAGAGACAAAAGAGCCACCCAGCACCCCATTCCTCAGGGGTGTCTCATGGCCATATGCCTGAGCTGCTGGGGCACTAAAGCTCTTGGGCTCAGGCTCCTGGGCTCGGGGCCCAGCCATGGCTGTCCTCGCCACAGACTCGACATAGCTCCGGGGCTCTGGAAGGGACAAGGAGACAGAGACTCAGCACAGATTCACAAGGACAAAGCTGGCCCCAGAGCCTGGCTGATGGGGAAGGGCATCCCAGGGACAGCGCCAAAATGACAGCCATGCAAGCCAATGACACTCTTCCTGGGACGTCTGCCTGCCCATGCCCACCCCTCTTCCCGGCTCCTAGAGAAGCTAGAAGCCCAACAGCAACCTTCCGCCAAAGGATTCCAGGCTCTGCCTCTGAACACAGCCCTCTGAGAGCATTCCCTGCAGGGGCCAGGACATCTGCTTGGACTGCTTCTGCTCCTCAATGACCCTGCTCTTCCAGGGTCTCCTGGCCTCCCCCGAGACTGCTATCAAGTGGGGAGCTCTATAGTGGGCAGAGTTTGGGTCCACCCTTGCCCATTTCTCAGGATAGTTCCAGGGTTCACACAGGCTCCTCCCTGTGCCCAGAATCCAGAAACAGGCTTGCCTGCCTAGCAACAGACCTGCCCTGGGAGTCATGCCCAGCCCTGGTCACAGCCAAGCTGCCAGCTCCGAACGTCTCTGACGCCAAGACACACCCACCCAGCTCTGCATGACACACTTAGCATTCTTCCCAAGGCGGTCACCAGCTATCTGCTCCTATAGGAACTGGACATTCTATCACTGCCCTCTCACATTTCAATAGCACTTAAGAGCCTACAAGGAACACTGTGTACACTCTCCCTCTTCTTGGCATGTGGAATGGAATACGCTCACAGGAAGGCAGGCAAATGTCTGAAGACCATTTCACGAATGAGAACACTAAGGCCTACAAAGTGGTGGCAGGCATGGGCAGGACGCAGGTCTCCTGATTTCAGGAACCCAATGTCTGTGTTCCCCACAAGGCCTCTCCCCTTTAAACCAAGTGCTCCATGCCTCTGTGTGGCCTAGAAAGGGGCCAGAGCGTCAAAGGAACTCCCAAAGCTGGCTGCCACCCAGACTCCTGCTTGTCCACACCATCCCCCCAAACCTCTGCCCAAGGCCCAGAGAGTCAGCCAGAAAAGAGCTAACTAGGGTTATTCATAAGGTTAAAAATAGCAATTATATGAGGAAAGTCGGGCTGGGAGAATGTAAATAACTTGCCCGAGTCACAGAGCTAGCAGGTGGCAGGGTGGGCCCAGGAACCCAGGCGGTCTGGCCGTGAGCCTGCTCCCTTACTCACTGCACACAGAGCCTGCTAAAAACCAGGGACTGATGGTTTCAATGTGCATCTTCAGTCTTACGGGGCTAACTTCTTGCCCTGGGGTAATGCCTCAGCAGAAGGAACCCTGGTGATCTACTCAGAGAAATGGCAAATGAGGCCTCTCTTTTCTGAAAACCACCCCCAGATTCTTACAGATGTGCACCATGGCTTCCCGTGGGTTCCCAACATGGGCGGTACCCCTCAGCTCCCCCAGGACTTCAAGTTGGGGGTCCATCTGCTCCCCAGCCACCGCTATACTCCTCGGGTGCCCAGAGCCTGCCCTGCTGACCCCAGAACCTCACTCAGAGCCTGACACACAGGGAGATGTCATACGTGTTTGTCACACAGTGAATGGATGTATGGCATGTGACCTCATGCAGGCATATGACAACAAAGGCCCAGAGCGACACAAGAGGAGCACCTGGGGGTCCAGAGGGTTAAGAATTCGGCTGCTGGTGCAACCACTGTGGAAGGCAGTATGGCGCTTTCTCAAAAAGCTGCAAATAGAGATACCATTTGACCCAGCAATTCCACTAATAAACCCCAAAGAGATCATAACTGACAACCAAGCAGATATATGCACACCCATGTTTATCTCGGCTTTGTTCACAATAGCAAGGAGTTGGAAACAACCTAAGTGCCCATCAACAAACGAATGGATAGAGAAGTTGTAGTATATTCACACAATGGAATATAATGCTGCATTGAAAAACAAGGAACTCATGCAATATTATTCAAAATAGGTGACCCTGGAGGACATAATGCTGAGTGAAGTATCCCAGTCACAAAAGGACAAATACTGCATGGTGCCACTGTTGTAAAACAGGACTGACCTCGGGGTTGGGAAGAGACTGAGAAAGATGAGTTCAAAAATGTATACTGCATTGAAACAGATGAGGGAGAAACTGTTTAAAAGGGATATGTGATTAGGTATTTTTGTCATGACAGGAGTCTAGAGCGAATGCTACATGGTGGGATAGACCTGGGGGAGGGTTTGTAAAACAATGAAAGACTTTTTCTTTTACTTTTCCAAGAGGGTAGTGACTGGGCGGAGAGGGTTGGGAGGGGGGAAAAGTACAACAATGAATGAATGGAAATCCAAAGTCTCTGTAAATTTTTACGGAAATTAACAATAAATTAAAAAAAAAAATTCGGCTGCCAACCAAAGGGCAGCAGTTCAAACCCACCACTGGCCATCATCCCCTGGGGGGGAAATGAGGCAGTGTGCTTCTGTAAAGATTTGAACCTTTGAAACTCCATGGTCTGTTCTACTCCTCTGCAGAGCCAGGATGAGTCACGACTGACTCAACGGTAGTCAGTTTGTTTTGGGTTTTATTATTATTATTTTAAGAGATACACATTCCTTTATCTCATTCCCTAGAGGTCCTGCTGACCCAGAATGTTCTAGTTTAAGCTGACAGAGGTCTGTGCTTGTCTCCAGTAACTGATGGTTCCCTGGTTTCTATGCTGTGTCCAGGGGCTGATTCTGTCTGTGTGCGTCACCAAGACCCACTTGCCCTGTGGCTCCAGAGATGGCTTTGGCCTTTGCCTAGTGGGCAGGACAGGCAGGAGATAACAGCGAGAAAGGAGAGAAAGATCCAGGTGCCAGTGGATTCACCTCTCTGCCCAAGACCACAGCTCCATTACTCCCAGTTCCTTCAGGCCCGGGGTGGGGCTGGCACTCTACATCTGCTGGGCAGCACCCTTGATGACTTGCCCAGGTCATTTAAAGCATCATTAAACTCTCCTTAGGTGTCTACGTGAGCCATCCTCTGTTGGCCAAGACTCTAACCCCCGCACTGAAGAAGCATCTCCCTACCTTACTCCCCAGCATGGAAGGCAGAGAATATAGTACACTACTTTTACCAGCAGAAGGGACATCAATGGTCAGGACAGAACCTGGGAACCCAAGTGCTCAAAGAACCAGGAGCTAGGACTCTGGGGTGTGAAGTGGGGACAGAACTGCTTGCCCAGTGAGAAGCAGCAATGGCGGCATCAAAAAACAGCCATCAGGGTGGAGGTGGCCACCGTCACCGCAGAGCACACCAGGGCCTCGAGCCTGGCTAGCAGTCTGCAAAATCTGGTGACCCAGCTCTGGTCCCCCACCTGCCGTCTTCCTGCTCTCCACCCCGTTTTCCTCTTCCCACCCAACCCTTTTCCTCTGTTACGTGGTCTGCATGGTCCTCCAACGGGGCCCTTTCCTGCACTTCCAGTCTCAAATCAGGAGGCAGGCCTGAGCGAAGCCTTTCACACCTCTCCTCTCCTCACAGCCTTGAGAACAGATACTCGGGCAGTGAGTTGGTTGCTTGACTTCCTAAGTTCATCTGCAGAACTGTTTAAAAAACCAAGCTTCCAAACTGAGTTTTTCAACTCACAGTTCCTTAATGGAAATCCTTCCTTTCTCTTCCTATCCCTCTGCTGTCACTCTCTCCTCCCCCACTCCAGGACAACAGAAGAGGAGGGGACTACTGGCCCCATACTCAAGGCCACAGCTCCTTATCCACTTACCAGAGAGGCCACTTAGGGCAGGCTGCTGAGCCTTGCTAGGACTCAGTTTCCTCATCTATAAAATCGCAATGTGGATACTCACCTGCTCAGCCACCATCAGGGTATCAGGGATGAGCAAGTTCCTTTTAACTCCTTCCTGCCAAGTCCATTGCCAGAGTCTCCAGGGTTCCTGCCAAGTCCATTGCCAGAGTGGTGCAAACTGTTAATGCACGCAGCTGCTAACTAAAAGCCTGGAGCTCTGTAGCCACCTCATGTGCCTCAGAAGAAAGGACTGGCAATTGCCTTCTTAAAAACAGCCACTGAAGCCCTCAGAGTACCCTAACACACACGGAGACTGGATGGGACCTGGTTACCGGTTAATTCCAATGCTAAGGTTAAGAACTAACCTCAATGGTACCCGTCTACAGACATGTCCCTAGGTAAGCCTACTCCCGATTGCCCCAGTCCTCTCTCACCCTCCTTTCCTCCAATCCTGGAGCAGCTACACACAGCGGTAGTGGGAGTATAAGACTGGGAGGGGTGGAAGAGGTGGGGCTAAAGCACATCACACAGACCATTCTAGAAGCCCAAACCCACTCCAAGTGGCTGCTGGCGCCTGAGAGCAGCTGGGTGGATCTAGCAGGCAGTGAGCCTCTGCAGGCCAAGAGGCCCATCAACTCTCCATCCACACCCTCAAATGCATTCTCTGCCTCTGAGGAAAGGTTCTCTGCCCAGAGAGAACAGTCCTTCTACCCTGAGGGAAATGAAGAGATGTGGGTGTGGAGAGGGGGAGAAATACAGAAACCCCAGAATCCTAAGTCCAGGAGCTCAGCAGTGCGGCCTTCTAGCTTAGGCCATGCGACCCTCCTCTGTGCCTCTCTAACGGTTCCTGCCCAAAATAGCACATCTGCCGAGCCTGAAACATCGACTGGCGTTCCTCTCAGCAGACAGTCCCATTCATCTTTATCTCCTCCGCATCTAGCACAGGACCATGCACACAGTAGCTGCTCAACACGTCTGCTCAACACGGCCCCTACATTCCAGATGGTCAAGTGCACCTGGGGCCTGAGAGCGGGAGGAGGGCTCGCTCCAGCCCGACGTCTCCCTCCTAGACATGTCTGTCCACACCTAATCTCCTCACCAGCATAACCTAACCTGAAATGTGTCCATGTCTTTGAGGAAGAAGTTTCAGCAATTTCTCTCCCTACTTTCTCCATGGGAAGGCAGTCTCGATGCCAACCTTGGCTCCTTACCACTGCAGGCTTTGTGTCTCTCCTTCTTGGAGAGGAACACCGGCCCCCACTCCTAGTAAAGCCACTGTCTAGTGATCTGAAGTATCCTCTGTATCCTGAACAATTACAGAGGAAGAGGTCACCCCTGATCGGGCATAGTCTCCCAGCCACACACATGACTGGCTGTGTGAGCCTGGGCAAGGCATCAACCTCGTTAAGTCCAACTCCTCATCGGTAAAAGAGGGTTCCTGCAATCTTCCTCTCAGGACTCCTGAGAACACTAAACAAGGTGATACAACATGACTCCATAGGGGCTGGTACCTGGCTGCCAAAACTCTCACTCCACAACATTCCTTCCCTTCTTCTAGCCTCTAGAAAAGAAATCTAGAAAAAAGGCTGTCCCTTCCCACCGGATCTCTGCACAGATCATCAAGATGTTCTTCCCGCCTCACCACAGGGCCTTTGCACAGGCTCTCTTTCTCTTTGTAAAATGTTCTTTTCTCATTCCAGTTATATCAGATAGCGTCCACTCATGCTCATATCTTGCTTCTTCAAGCTAGATCTGGTTTTTGTTTCGTTTTGTTCTGTTTTCCCGTAAGTTCTCACAAAGCTGAATTCCTTTCCCTCTGAGCACTTATCTCCAAGGGCACTTGTGAGTGATCATTCACTTTTCAGCTCCATGTGCTCTCTCATGTCCTCCATGACAGTGAGGGCCACATTTCCTATGGCATATCCTTGTATCCCAAGATACCACTCTACCCTCAGAGACAGACAAAAATATCAACCAACTAAATGAGTCAGTGAGTAGATGAATGAATGAATGCAGAGCGTTCAGGTCTCGAACAGAGCAGACCTCCCCTGGAATTTTCCTCGTCACTGATCCCACTTCTCCTTAGCTCTTGTGCCTCTGATAACTTTTCCACTTATTTCTTTCTGAGTTTCTCATCCAAGAATCAGCAAAGAAATCGGGCAGCCCTTCAGAAGGGCAGCAAAGAATGTGCTTCGGTCTGACCCAGGAGGCAGTACACAAGTCAGGAAATACAGAACAGGCTTCCTACGCTTTGCCCCCTGGCCCCTGCCCGCTCCCACTCGCAGCCACTGACAGCAATTCTGCCTCCTACACTGGAATCCCAGGGCGTGGTGCCTGGACACTTGGAAATGGCCACTTGGCTGGGAGACCATTAATTCCAATTTCAGCTCAGTGGCCTCCTAAGCGTGATCTTGGGCAGGTCCCCACCAGTGAAAATACTGCCCTGACCCTTATGACCCTTCCCCTTCCAAATGCTCTGTCTTGGGGGCAGATGCAGGGGACAGGCTTGGTTCCTTGTAGGCCAAGTGTCCTTCATGAAGTTGGGGGTCTTAGTCAATTCTGTCCAATCCATTTCTCTGAGAGTCACCTCACACTGGAAATACAACCACGAATTCTCAGCCTGTGGGGCAGGCCACCCCACGGACTTTCCTCCTCAAGAGTCTGAGGTCCCTCCATCCTTGTTTAGGTTAACCAACCCCAAGGAGTGCTGAGAGAGTAACCCCTGAAACCTGTGAACAACTGGTCAGAGTCCGGCTTGTTCTAGACTCTTGTTCCAATCCCAACTGTTCTACCCTGTTGGGAACATGCAGCCTCAAGTGTGGGGGAGAGACCCCTCTGTGGGTATGAGGTGGGGAGGCACCAGCAGAAACCATACCAGCCGACGAGGGCATGCCGTGCTCTACCCACCCAGGGACCTGTTTCTGAGGCTGCCTTCCTGTGCAACCCTGGCAAGCTGGAGTGGGCAGCACCTCTGGAAAGCACTAGTCATCTTCTCTGGGCACACATCAGGCCTATTTTGGGAGTTGAAAGTCAACACTGCAAATGTAAAGGCAAGTGGAAGTGGGTCTGAGAGAACTGGATGGAGTCTTTAAAAAACCAGGTTTTAAAAGCCACACACTTAAAGACACCAGCGGGGGGGAGTCAGAAAACCTATCACGTCAGACTTGGAAGATCTCTGGGCACTTCCACTGTGTCCCAGTCTCTCCTGGTGGAGACGGGACAGGCGCTAGAAGCCCCTGTTGGCAACCACGCTGACGCCCCTGAGTTTTACTTGCTGTCTGAAGCTTTGTGTGAACCCTGTTCCGATAAGTCAGAGGCCTTCAAACAGGTCACATCTCCTCTCTGCTGGCCCAGAGAATAACGAGGGCCTTACTGGAATCAAGGATTAAAGCTGGGGCCCACCAACATGTGAGCTCCCTGAAATTGTCTGCAAAATCTGTGGGCGTGGCTGTCCTGGTATATTTATATAGGGAGAATCCACTGCTTCCCTGAGATTCCCAAAAGTATTTTAGATCCTAGAAGGACAAAACTCCTTTCCCAGGTGACAGGGAATCAGGCAGGAGCTTCCACAAGTCAAATTGTAGTTCTCAACTGGAAGCAATGCCCAATCCTCATCAGAGGACATGTAATACAGACACATCTAATTGCTGCTATGTTACAAGTACCACTTATAATTATCCTGACTGGAGGGGTGCTCTCGCATCTAGTGGGGGTGGACCAGGGATGCAGCTGACTGTCCCACAGTGCACGTGAATTCCCCCAGTAAAGAGCAGTTCAGCCCATGGTATAGAGGTTGACAGTCTTGCTCTAGGGCAGGCATAGGGAGCATGCTGGGAAATAGCTACCTCCCCCTCGGCCCCTGCCTATTGGTCCCATGACCCTCTGACAGCACTTGCTGGTATGCCCATCAGGCTGCGGGAAATGACACTGAGAGAGGGACTATCTGTTCACAAGGTGACACAGAGCTAGAGCCTAACCATGCCCAGAAGCTCCACGTCCCCACCCGGGACTCATGTGGTGTCCAGGGTGACAGCGCATCTCATCGCCTGGGGATGGGGACAGGGAGGCACTGTGTTTATTTGAAACCAGGTCAGGAAAGTGAGCTGCCCCACAAGCCAGCCAGAACAAGCTTGGCGTGAAAAGCCATCCCCAAGGCCAGAGCTCAGGAAGCCACCGCACACTTACCTTCAGACAGCTCGGCCACCACCTTCCCCTCATCCTCCTCTGGAGGAAGATAAGAAGACAGGTGGGAGAGAGGAGAGGCAGGCAAGAGAGCAGGTAACAGAAGAGAGGGAAGAGCAGAAAAAAGAGAGAGAGAACGATTAACGGCGACTAGTGAGAAAGAGACTCTGCTGAGAGGAGGAAAGTGGACAGGTGAGTGAGGTGAGGGCAGAGCCCCAGGTGAGTGAGGCAGTGTATGCGGTCCCCAGCTCTAGGACCAGGACGAGGGTGGTGAACCCAGCACAGAGAGGAGGTGCTCACTCCTGGGCCCAGCAAGCCCCGCCCTCTCACGACCCCTGTGCCCAGGGCTTGTGTGGGCCAACCCTCAAGCAGATGTGGGAGAGACAGGCTCTCAGCCCTCTTCAAAACTCGTGACTCAGTTTCCCTGGCCATGCAGACACCTCCTGAGTGGGAGGCTGTGCGTGGACCATGTGTCTGGTGGGTCACAAATGCATGCCATTCCCCTCCTACCTGGATGGATCAGTTTCCTGGGGACTATGGGAGAAAGATAAGATTGGCCCCCTGGGCCCTGGCTCAGGCCTGAAACCAGAGCCCAGGGAGCGACTTCCCTGCTTGGAGGGGTTGCTAAGGGCTCAGGGCTGGCTCTGTCCTTTCCCACTGAAGGAGAGGGACTGTGGATGCCAGAGGTGTGAGACCGGGGCACAGGAGACCTTCCCCTCAGCAGGGCCCTCAGCTCTGCCTTCCACTCTGCAACCAGGACAGAGTGTCCTCAAGGCAGAGCCGGGGAGTGGCCCAGACAGGTGGCCTCGTTCCTGTCTCAGCCTCCAAGCTCCTGGGTGCCCTTTTCCCAGGTGCAGGACAAACTGCTGCCCAGCATCAGGGATGTGGAGGAGGAGAAAGCCTGACCAAGGCCAGGAAGGGCCAGGAGCCCAGTGGGGGCAGAGGTCAGGGCTGAGGGGCCAGGGCCAGAGAGGCATCTGACAGAGGTGGCTGCTGCTGAGTTCCTCAGGCAGGAGTTTGTGGGCAAGAGGAGGCAGAACACATGCGCACTCTGAGCTCGGCTGTTAGGTTTCTGGCATCGAGGATGCTCACAGCAGAGCCAGCAGGTCTGGAAGTGCGAACCGCGACTCAGAGCTAAAGTCACATATGGATGAGTGCACACGTGTAGCAGTGTGTGTGCATGCATGCACGTGTGTGCACAGAGATGCAAGAGTGAATGTATGTGCATTCATATGTATTTCTATGTTTGTGCATGTATGCATGTGTGTTGACATCTGTGTGCATGGGTACACGTGTTTCTATGCATCGGCATGAGTGTGTATTTGTGTATGAACACATACAGATGTGTGCGTATATTTGTGTGCCTGAACGCTAGGAAATGGGGAAATTGGGCTTTTGACAGAGAGCTGGCATCTCCAGGGAAACAGCCCAGGCCTTCAAATTCCCAAATCTGAAGGAAGCTGGGAAAGGACTTCCCTCCTAAGTCAATGTCAGGGAGACGACAAAGAGCCCCTGAGCCCTGAGCCCTGCACAGGAAGCCCTCACACACGCCTGGCTGGACCAGGGGCACAAAGAAAGCCCTCCACCTCATTCCCAGGAGCCTTCCAAGAACCAACCCCCGCTCCAGACAGAGGCCCAAATGTAGGGCCACAGGGTACCCCAGTCACCCTGCCAGAGTCACTTACCGCCTGTGGGGTGCAACAGGATCTCTGCTGGATTGTGGGGTTTCAGGCCCAGAGCAGACAGAGGCGTCTTGGCCAGGCCTGGAGGGGAGCGAACTGTACCGGAAACAAGAGAGACAGAGGGAACGAGTGAGAATGGGGGTCTGTTGGAGAGTAGGGGTAGGAAGGCAGAGGACCCCATAAACAAAAGTGTGTGGGGTAAGGGGAAGGCAGGAGAGCCAGCCCAGTGGGTTTCAGATTAACTCTGCTACCCTTTGCCTCTTCAAGTTTTTCCATATTTATGTGGTTTAAAAGCAAAGGCCGAGGGCACTCACTGGATGTGGAGGGGGGAGATGGTGTCCTATCAAACTCCTAACCTTGAGAAAAGAGATTTCTATGTCAAGGCCCTCGGTTCCTTCTCAAGGTCCTTTTACATGATCATGGTTTACCACACACATGCAAGCTTGGCCAGCCTCTGACTTTCTCTTGAATAGCCTCTCTTTCTCCTCCCTTTCTCTGACCACCCTCACTACAGTACTCCTAACAATGGATGTACATGGACTTGAAGGAACAATAAAGTATCAAGAGGACACATGCCGCAAAGGAATGGAAGAGGAGTGGGAGGGAATGGCGGACCACAGACCGGAAGACTGGCAACCCCAAGGCCTCTGGCCAGCGCTCAGCCCAGGGTCTGTGACTCCCCAGACCATGGCGGCCCTTAGAAAGTCCACAAGGCAACAGATGCTCACTGTGGGGGTGCCTGTGCTCTCAAACCTCAATGTTCTGGAAGAAAGAGTTTAGTCCTCATAATCATTGGACAGAGTACCACCCAACTTTACGGGTAACCCTGTCTTCCTCCCAAGCCATCCGTCTTGGCTGGCAGTGTCACATATCATACAGAGCTGAGAAGGGGCTCTCAGGCTTCTTCCCACAAGGCAAGGATGCCAGCAGACTCTGGACTGATCTGATAGGTGGTTGTTATGACCAATCACAAGATAGTTCAGTGATGGGTGCCACTCTCACTCTCTTCACACGCCTCTGAGAAGTGACAGAGTGAGCTATGTGTCTCCCATCAGGGACACTGAGATCCTGAAAAGGCTGCAGCACCAAGGACACCAGCCACAGAGGGACACTGCCTGCCCCAATCTCATGCTCTCAGTGGACTACGTGGCCAACAGACGCCCCAGACTCACAGAGCAGCTCCAGCTGTCCTCCTGTTGTTCCTTTACGCAACAGACATTGATGTACAGGAAACAAACACAGTTCTTCCAATGCACGCAATACATAGAACTTTGTGTCTGCGTAAGGGTGTGTGAATGAGTGTGTGTGTGTGTGTGTGTGTGTGTGTGTGTGTGTGTGTGTGTGTGTCTGTGTGTGTGTCTGCGGGAACAGCAGGCAGTCAAGGATCCAACCCTGTGGCCCACTCAGTATGCCACCCGCACTTGTTCCTTATATGTCCAACGGACAGAGAATGTAAGGACAAGCGTGGACAAACAGACCTGGCCAGGCATGCAGTAGGGTCTGAGTATACGGGTTTCTAACATTTCTCCCTTTCCCTTTACAAACATACATATAACACACACTCTCACGATTTCCTGCAATATCTAACATAATCTCCCACTCTCCACTTGTAATGTTGTTGATTGTGGTGACTTCCAAAGTGCTCTGACGCTGGAAGCTATGTCATCAGTTTCTCTAACACCAGCAGGGTCACCGATTTGTTATTGGTGGTGCTGGTGAGCTGACTACGATTTACTGAGGGTCTGCCTGTCTTTTGCTGACTCTCAGCCTTTTCTAGCTTGGCATCTTTTTCCAAGGCCTGGCCTACAAGGGTCACCTAAAAGGGGCAGGTTTCAGCAGAACTTCTAGATTATCACAGACTAGGCAGAAAGGCCTGGCAATCTACTTTCACAAATTAGTCCATGAAAACCCTACTGATCCTAACAGCATAGTGCCTGACACAGTGTTGGAAGATGTTCTCCCTAGGACGGAAGGCACAGTAATGGCTGCAGCTATGGAGTCATACTTCCGTGATGGTAAAGATGGCACAGGATTGGGCAAAACACAGCAGTGTCGTAGTCACAGATGCTTGTTTCTGCTGGTCAAGCAAAGGAAGGCTGACTGTAATTAATTCTCAAGGAATGGGTCCAACCTCAAGCACCTGCTCACGGAGGAACCATGAAACATCTCCAGCTCACAAGAGAAGGCAAAGCAGTCCCAGAAGGACTCACTCAGAGTCCTCCCTCCCTCACTCCACACCCTTCCCTCCCAGTTCCCCAGCCATCTGACCCCTCCTCCAAGGCAGATGAGTGGGTGGGACTAAAGCCAAGCAAGCTTTATTGCATCCCAAGAGACAAATTCCCCACATTTCTCTGCCCTCTTTCTTCTCTCCCCAGCGTGTGCATTTGTAAAACCTCAGACTTACTCATTCTCCCCACTGAGGCCCCAGGGTTAGCCAAAGAGAGGGTCGAGGAATGCAAACAGGCACATGTGGCAACAGTCAAGCCTAGTTCAGCCCAGATGGCAGCAAACAGGGCAAGTGTGAATGTGGAGGGTTAGGACCAGAGAGAGAGACTCTGAGGAGCTTTTTCTCTAGGAAGGTTAAAGAGCTATCTCTTAAATGTGGTCCACAGATACAACCCAACACTACACAGGCACAGAGAAAAAGAAATTGAATCTGGAAGACTTAATGCTGAGCAAAATATGTCAATCACAAAGGAACAAATACTGTATGATTAGGCCATATTTATGAAATGACAAGAATATGAAAATATATATTTACACCGAGATAGACAGAGCAATGGTGTTCACTGATCATTACCAGGGGTTAGAGGGTCATGATTTCCTAGGTAGTACTTTGTCCTTGTTGTCAGAAGGGACCAGTCCATGGAGTAGGACATCATGCTTGGAAGGGTAGAGGGTCAACACAGAACAGGAAGCCCTGATTGAAATGGACTGATATAGTGACTGTGGCAATGGGTTCAGGAGTGTCAGAGATGGTCAGCCTGGCTCGGGACGGTTCAGGTTCAGAGCCATTGTTCACAGGGACACCATGAGTCGTAGTCAACTCAACAGCACAAAACAACAACAGTCACTTTTAGTTTCTGGTGATGGGAACGGTAGCACGGAATGTGGAGGAGCTTTAAAGGTGGCACAGAATGTGAGGTAAAGTGTGCACAGCCTTACTAGTAAAAACAATGCCCTAAGTCATCTTTAAGAAAAAGGATTATTTGGTAAATACTGTGTTATATATAATTTAACAACACTACTACCGAGATAGAGGAATGCAGCTAGATATAGCAAATAGAAAGCACAGATACTTCTTAGACACAATCAATAACCTCAATGAGATTAGTTTTCTTGATCTGAAGTCTCGGAGCCATAGTTTCAGGGGTCCATTCAGTAAACGAGCATAACTTCATCATAAAGTCCATGTTCTACATATTAATTGGACAAGTACCACCTTAGGTCTTAAGAGTTTTTAGGTAGACATCTAAGAAACAATCTCTGGTCTATGTTTATCTGGGAGTAAAACGAGAATTAAAAAAAAGGCTAAAAATTAAAGAAGTAAAAAAAAAAAAAAAGAATTGTTTACATAAGACCAAAATAATTAGATGGTGCCTGGTTACTACAAGCAGATATTTGGATCAAGGTCACATGTACTCTGATTAAAAGGGAGAGAACTGTGGAACATAACAAAGAATCCAGACTTACTGGACTCCCTGAGACTCAAATTCCTAAGACTACTGCCCGAGAACACTCTTTCACGTAGAACAGAAATACCTTTTAACGAAATAACAAGTTAGTCCACAAAGTAAATTATTTTGCCCATGAGGCTTGCATTCTTTTAAAAATCAGCCATACGGGACCTAATGGAAAATAGTTACTCTAAAGTACAGATAAGAAGCCTGGAGAGATTGTGGTCAAATTATTAATAAACTGAAGAATGCAACCAATGTCACTGAACTTTGTGCATAGAAATAGCTGAATGAGATGCTTTTTTTTTTGCTGTGTGTACTTTCACCAAAAATATAATACATTTTTAAAGGGGGGGGAAATACTCGTCTCTTGAATAGTTAGCTTTAGGCTTGCACTGTGTAAGTTGTTCAGTGCTATCACGGAGGCCAGTAGCCAAATGTGACCAACTGAGCACTTGCAGTACAGCTCATCTGAAGCGAGGTATACTACAAACACAAGACAGACTCAATTTTAAAGATTTAAGGGAGCTCTGCTTGCCTAGTGGTAAGGAATTATGTTGCCAACCCAAAGGTAAATGGTTCAAATCCGCCAGCTACTCCATGGGAGAAAGATGGGCAATTGCTTCACATTTCATGAAACGTCTCTGAAAACCCACTGTGGGGTCAGCTATGAGTGGGTTCTAAATCGATGGTACATAACAACATTTTAAAGATTTAGCATTAATGTATATACACATATATTTTTCTGATTTAAATATATTTACGTATATTTTTAAGTAAAATATATTTATTTTTAAATATATATTTAATAAAAAAGATAATGATGTTTTATGTCACTAAAATGATATTTTGTGCAAAAGAAAACACTGATACTAATTTTACTTGTTTCTTTTCACATATATTTTTTTAAACTACAAATATCTCACTGATATTTTTTACATAATTTACCTGCTGGAAGGACAGGATTTGGGATGTTCAGGATTAAAATAACTATGTGCTGAAAATTAAATCTATCAGCTGTGTTTTACTTGTCTCGGTGTGGCTGTTAGAAAATGTGACAGGGCGAACGTGGCCTGGATTGTATTTCCACTGGACAGCATTGCGCCACACAGAACCATGGTTCCGGTCACAGCCTGGAATCCTACACAGCCGTCAACACCGGTTTTGCCAGCACACAGGTCAGGTGCTGCTGTCACATTCCCTCTCTGTGCAGGACAGCCAGCCCCGGCTCTCCTTTCCTCACCCCACCTCCTCTGTCCCTGTGGTAAATAAATGGACAGTTGGTTCTGGGCCCAGGCAATCCTACCAAGGTCTTCTGCTGTGACACAAGCCACTCCCAGGGACAGTAGATCACCCCGTGCCTGTGATATTCCACCAATGCTTCCCAACAACTACCACTTCCTGTTCCTCTCTAAAAAGGAAATCCAAAATCTCTGTAAATGCTCATTAAAATTATTTAAAAAAAAAAAAAAAAGGAGCAGCAGCCCGACCCAGGGCTCATTCAGGCCTCTCATTGGGTGGAAATGTCTCTGCCCTTTGAGGGTCTATCCCACCAGTTACTGCCTCACAGAGAGGCACACCAAATGCTCCTGCCGGGAGAATAATGATTCACGAAACAGAAACTCTATACACATGAGGATTCTGGACTAAATTAAAAAGGCAGTGGTAAGCCAATGAAGACAGAAGGGAGGTCCGAAACAAGATCGAAGGGCATGGCAGAGACTTCCACCAAGTTAGGAACAATCACCTCAGGATGGGGGATAGAAAATACTCATTTCCTTTCCATAAGAGCTCAGAGATCCCACAGGCAGTCTGGATGCTAAGACTAGTGCTTCTCCCTTTTCATGAACAAAGGAACATCTAGTGGCCTGGTGTGATGGACAAGAACAGGGAGGGAATGGAAGGAGGCCTGGCACTTATGGAGACTGGAGTCATAGGTGGAAGTGACAGGGAGACAAGTTGAGCAAGGAGTTCTTACCACCACTGGGTGGAGGGCTGGTCGGGGAGGTGGCATCCATCTCCTCAAAGGCCTCCTTGTAGCTATGCAGATGGGGCTGTGGGGGGAAAAAGGTATAAACAAAGGGGGTCCACTGGTGGCCATGTTTCTGAGGAGGACAGATTTCCTCTTCAGATGGCATGGGAAACAAAGACGGTGAAGTAAGTGGCCCACACTCACCTCCCCAGTCTGTCCACCCCATGCTCCTGAGGAAAACAGAGATGAAGTGAGATCTGGGCCACTCACTGTCCCACAAACTCCTTTTACTGGAGAGAATGAGAAAGTGTTTCCAAGGCTATTGTCAAGAGTGTGTGGAATTCAGTAACATCTACCTTGGAAGTATTTCAGAAGGAAAAAGCTAAAGAGAAGGGTGTGGGGGTGAGGGTCGGGAGAGAGGTGGAAAAAACTGGGTTCCCATCAGAGGGCAGGAGAAAAAGGATTTCCAAAAGCCATTTACACCCAGAACGGCTCTTCGGCCTGGGTTTTATAGAGCAGTTAGAATACCTCTACAAATGTGGTCCACAGGCCACCAGCATCAGATTCATCCAGGAGGTATGTCGCAAATGCAGATGTCTGGACCCATCCCAAGTTTCCTCTTGTGGGAATCTTTAGCACAGACTTGGAAACCTGCATTTCTAACAAACTGCCCGGGTGACTGTATACTCATTCAAGTTTGAGACTTCCAGCCTCCAAGTACTGAAATGTCTCAGAATGTGAACATGTTAGCGTCCACGTGTAGATTTCAGAGAAATCCTGTATAATCTGGTTTTCCATTTAGAGCCTGGGAGAAATATGGGCAGTCTCCTCTCACATCACCAACAACCTCAGACATCCAATGGGTTCCAACTCTATGGCAATTAGTTAACGGCACAACCATGGAGTCCAGCGGCACAACGGTTGTTAACTGAAAGGTATGCGGAATCAACCAGGGGCTCCATCAAACAAAAGGCGTGACAATCAGCTCCAGTAACGATCATAGCGTAGCAAATGCTATAGGGCAGTTCTATTCTGTCCTATAGAATCATTACAAGTCAGAAGGAGCTCTGGTGGCCCAAGTGGTAAAGGAGTTGTGCTGCCAACCCAAAGGCAGGTGGTTCGAATCCACCAATTGCTCTCCAGGAGAAAGCTGGGCAATCTCTTCCCACTTAATTTACAGCCCTCTGAGAGCCCACTGGAGGATCAGAGATGAGTTGGTTCTAACTCAATGGCCATGAGTTGCTGTTTGTTGAGGAAGTCAGAATGACCTCAACAGCACACAGCATCATGCCATACCCTGCTGCCTCGGTAACCAGCCTACAAAAAGGACTCCCTCTGAGAGTTAAGAAGGGAACTTCTGTCTCAGTGCTCGTGTAAGAGGTGCCGGGAATTGGAGGGATAAAAGCTCTTTGTAGGGTCAGGGGAACTAGGTCCAGATTCCACAGAACAGAGGAAGAGGACAGCAGGTAAGATGTTGGGAGGACAGACACGACTACAGGCTTCCTGACAGGCAGCCCCACCACACTGACTTTCAGGTCCCTGGAGCTCTAACACGGGCTCCACTCCTCTCTGTGGCCACGGAAGAAGCTAAGGACTCACCTCTTTGGGACGCCCTCCTGGATTGAGTGCAATGGTAAGAGCCAGCTCCGGAGAGACACACTGGACAGGGGAGCGAACCCCAGGGCTCCGGGGGGATGTGGGTTCTGGAGACTGGTTCTCATACTGTCCATCACTGGCTGCCCGCCTCCGGAGAGGGGCCAGGGGCTCTGTAGGCTGCTTCTCTCGGGCCTGTACCCCTGGGGAACATGGCAGGGTGAAAGGCCATAAGCAAGAAATTAAGAACTTAAGAAATTAACAACTGAGCCTAGAAACCACCCTGAGGAGTCAGTCATCTGAGCTCAGGGGTAAGTGGAATTAGGCCCATGCCCCCTCAGCACTACCCCCACCCCAGCCTCCCTCAGTCCAACTATGCCCACACTTGGGTTTTCTCTGAGAGGTGGTGGATCTGCTAGACTGGGATCATCCTTCAGCAGGAATCTCCACTCTACAGTGTGGTGGGCCAAGAGCTAAAAGGACTGATACAAGAAACAGATGTCAACTCTGCCCAACCCCTGGAGGCAGAGGCCAGAGCTTCCAGGCAAAGGAGGGAAAGTGGAGGGGGTGGAGGAGAGAGATGGTCTCCAAGGCAACGGCATCAACCAACAAGCAACATCAAGTCCATGGGGAAGAACTACTGGAAAGAGCCGAGAATGAATCATCTTGCAAATGGTGCTCCAAAGAGAAACAAGGGAAGAATTAACTCCTTCCATGGAGTCCTCAGCTCCAACTGGCCCCTGGGAATACTGGCCTTCTCCAGGGTTCCCCAAGCTTCCTGTCACTGGTTCCTCCTGCTCACCCCCTTTCCTGCTCCAAAGGGGCTGAAGCTCCAAGCAGACAGCAGGCGGAAAGCCCTGAAGCATGTGTCTCATCTGCTGTTCTGCACTTCCCTTCCCCCTATGAGGACATGTTAACCTCACCCGCCTTCCTTTTTACTCCCTCTTCCAACAGCTGGGCTGAGGCACAGAATCCATTGCCTCATTGTGTGGGCTTCCAGGATCCTAGAAAACTTGATCCCAAAGGCCAAGACCTCACCCTGCACCACTGGGAAGGGTGGACTCCTGATCATAATTATCTTCTGGAAGGAAAATCTCCACCCTCCCTTCACCATCATCAGGCAGGAAAGGGGAGAAAGCTGCCTGGTGAGGTCGGGAACTTAGCAAAGGTCCCAGTTATTTGGGCCTGGAACTGGGGCATTCACTCTCTCCTTATCTCTCTGCTGGCCCCAGAGATGCGCCAGTGGGGGGAGCGAAGCAGTTACCACCTCATTCAGATGAGACCACTTTCTACTATCCACTCTGGGGTCCTCACATGCCCAGACAGCCCTCAGCTCCCAGGGCATCCCCACAAAATGAGCCAGAAAAAGTTCCTTCTGATTTGTCACGGACAAACCACCAGTTGCCGAGTACTAAGACAGACAAACGGACACACATGGTCTCTTTGAAACACACCTTCACATTCATTCATAATTCGGGCTTCAGAGAGCCCACCGGAACAGCAGAAGGCATGGTGTCTGGACATAAGCGAGCATGGTCCTAGGGTGGGGGGTGGGTTCTCAGCCTCACTTTGAGCCCTTTACTATTCAGAGGCAGCCCTGGTATGTCCACTGAGAAGAAAACCTGCTGGGGGTGGGAGCTGGGCTCTGACCTCATTCTGCTGTCCATTCTGTCCTTTCCTCAAAGCACAGAGGCCTTCACACACCCTTATCTTCAGAAGAAGAAAATTAAGGCTGTCTTAGCCCTAACCATAGGCTGCTAAGAGCTTTAACTGGATGGACGATGGGACATGGTTTTGACAGGGCTGGACCTGGACAGTCCAGGCGGCCCAGTTTCCTAGCACAAGGACCCTGCACTCAGTCACCCGTCTCCCCCAACCCCGACGCCTACCCCCTCGGGCCTCCTGAAAAGCTTGGCCCAGAGCTGCTGCTGGTTTCATTCCTGGCATAAACATTAAAAGGAAACAGACATTGCCATTGATTTTCTAATAATAATTGTGACAAAGAAGGCCCATTTGGGAAAGGCTCTTGGGGTTTGGAGCGGAGCTCCAAGGTTAAAAGAAATGCATTAGGGCTGGTCTCAGCTGCTGGCCCGCCCACTCCTGGGCAGCCTCTCTCTGGCAGATTTCCTGGCCTTTTCAAGAAGTGGCCAGTATCCCTGTTTGGAGTTTGTCTTTGAAAAGTGGTTTAGTCTTGATTGGAGGCACTGAATCTCCCAAATGAGCAGAGAACACTGTCTGTGCTCTGCCAAGGACACCCTGTGTGGTTATGTGGTCACGTTCCAGAGAACATGAACACAGTGGCAACACGGAGTGAGGTAAGGCTGGCCTGCTAGAAGGCTCCCCAACAGAGAGCATGAGACACAGGAAGGAGGTCACTGGACCATCAGGGCATCACATCTTCTCCAACACTTTCTGTCAGGCACTTGGGGGGCAGAGGGGATGGACAGAATGACCCCCAAATTCAAACACACAGCAGGGTGGAGCCTCCCTCTGCAGGACAGGGCCGACCCCACATTTCACACCCAGGGGTGCAACCCTGACTTCACAGAACACCCCGCCACGCCCGTGGCCAGACAGGACCATCTCACAGTCTTTGGACACTGTCATTGTCATCCCCCTGGACAAGTCCAGAACTGCCCTCAAGTGTCTGGAAAGCCATGCTCCTCTCTCTTCCCTTTCATGATGGGAAAGAGGGGAAATGGGACATGGTGGATGGGGAACCAAGTTGGCCCCATCATTCCCCAGCCAAGCTAGACCATTGGGACACGAGCTGACCACCAGTGTCAGGAAGAGAACACCTGTCTCTTAATGTCCTACAGACAGATAACAGAAATGAGCTGGCTTCCCCCACTGGGTGTGCCCTCCCTCCCTCCCCCCCAGCTCCGGGACACTCTCAGTCTCTGCTCATGTGCACCCTCTAAGGAGCTTGGTCTCTATGCGCTCCCTCCATGGGGACACAGGTGCACACAGAGGCACGTCACGTCAAGTGTGCACAGGCCCCACCTTAATCCAACAGGAATGGCAATGGGACACTGGACAGGTGGAGCATTGTGTGAAGTCACTGAGGCACACCCAGGACACCTACAGTCAGCCCTGTCCCAGCAGGAGACCAGCCGAGGTCTGAGGAAGTGAACTACGAGAATAGGGAGCTTAGGAGAGCAGAGAGAATAGGGAGCTTAAGAGAGCAGAGAGAATAGGGAGCTTAGGAGAGCAGAGACGGCTGGCAGGTCTTGGTAGGGGGCTGGCGAGTGCAGCATTTCCCCCAGGCTGAGGGGTGGGAGGCCCTGGGTCTCTAGGATAGCACCTGATATTTCAAGAATTCCTTGTGATTCTCTAATGGCTGCTTCATGTGGTCCCTAAGGAGAGGCAAGGACCTCCTCCCACAATCCTCCACACAGACCTGAGGAGCAGCTCCCTTCCCAAGGAGGCCTCGCACTTCGCTCCAGGATGGTGCTGTGCTGAGGAAACAGCTTAGTTCAAGGCTCCCCCAAAGTGGGCTGGAGACAGCAACCTTTCATACATGAAAAGCCACCCACAACACACATATACACACAGAACTGCATGCCGGGAACTGTAGTCCTAATACAGGCCATACTCTCACAAGACACTCAAGCTGCCCACCTCCCGTGGGCCCCGCAAACCACAGTTATGTCTTCTTACATGCTTCCTCTACACCCCCCAAACCTGCGCACACACTCCCACAACAAACATATACACACAGAACTGCATCCTGGGAACTGTAGTCCAAAACCAGGCCGTACTCTCATAAGACACTCAAGCTGCCCACCTCCCCTGGGCCCCACACACCACAGTTATGTCTTCTTCCATGTTTCCTCTATACCCTCCACCCCAGGTGGGCCACCTCCATCCCACAGACCCAACTCTTCTTTTTCTCTCCAGCCTTCCGATTTCCAAAAGACTGAGTTCCTCAGCTCCAGGTGGTGAGGCTGGCTGTCCGGCTGCACGCCTGGGCTCCGGAAGCGAGGGGGTCCAGGAAGCTACCTGCTGGGCCAGGGCACCAGAAAGCCACACGGCAACCACACTACAAGCCCCAGGTCAAGCCATGCCAGCTCCCCTCAGGAGAGGTTCACCACCCCAGAGCCCACTACCCCAGGCCCCACTGAACACTGCACTCCCCACCACTGGGCCGAGACAGGGAGAAGGAGAGCAGGAGAGGATAGAGGAGACTAGAGGAGACAGACGTGAGAGCCATCTCCCGATTATCCATGGACTAGAGGTAGGGATCAGTGAAGGTCCTAGATGCTGCCAATGGGAGCTAGTAGTCCCATTGTTCTCTAAGCCTTTCTTGTTAACTGCTCAAGATCACAGCATGGGGCAACCTGAGCACCCATCTCCTCTCTGAGCTTAGCTTCCAGGCTCAGAAGAGCAGAGGGAAGGATGAGGCATGTTCTTTCAGGTGTAAAAGGCTATGGGCCTGTATGTGCAAAAGAGTCGGGGTAAAAAGTCAGGAGTCTACATCACCCTCAAGTAAAGCCCCTTGACCCCTAGTGAGTGTCTGCCCAGTCTGTGATAGGTCACAGTCATCTTGCCAAACAGGAAAGGTAGGGCTTGCATGCCCTTCATTTTTCAAATTGGGTCACTGAGACCCAAGTCATTCAGAAATTTACCAAGGCAGATCCCAGAGCTAGTCACTGGCATAGCTGGGGCCACCCACAATCCTGGGCTCTGACTCAGCCACAGGTCCTTAAATCTGAGACTCAGAAGAGGGTCAGCAGGACACTCGACCTGGGCCGTGTCCTACTCGAGAGGGACAGAGGGCAAGTGTTTAGGCATCACTCGTGGTCTGTGTGCAAAGTCTCACGCAGAGGATAGTACTAGGAGTGCTAGGCTGGCCCAAGACCAACGGGACAAGAAGCACCTCAGTTATAATGGGGAGTCCCAAGGCAAGTGTAGACACTCCAGACCCAGTTCCCAGCAGGCAAGGTCAAGGCTGGAAGCATGAGGCCTATATCCATGCAGAAGTGGGAGCCAAGCTCATGCAGAAAGGGCGAAAAAGGACGGAATTAAGGAAACAGAAGAGGGACAGTGGAAAAGGAGGAAGAAAGAAAGAGGTGGAGAGAGGCAGAAAAGCAAGGAAGAAATAGAGGAGACAGGGGAAGAATAAATCAGAGATGAGAATGAGGAAAAAGGTGGGTGAGAGATCCGCAGAGAGAAGAAAGCAGAAAGTGAGAGCTAAAATGAG